GTTCTTAAAATCGACTTCGAAATGGCCCAGCACGCCACACAGTTATTAAAATTAATGCTGGCATAACGCCAGCATCTCCTACATTTTTAAAAGAAGTAGAGATATCAGACATGGTCAGATAAGAAATCATTCCGAATTTATGTATGTTTTAAGATGGGCTTTCAATGTAATTTTAGTCCCAAGCAACAGTTGTACCTATTGCAATATTGAAGCCTTAGGCTAACTAGGTTCTAGACTGAAATAATAATTGCAATATGACCATTGAAATACGATTCTCAGTGGCAGGTTGATGACCTTATTACAGAGCATTACAAAGTAAGAGATATTGTGCCTACAATTGATGGAGATTGTCCATTCCTTCCTCTTTTTCAGATCACGCACCTCCTCCCTCCTCCCCTGTGTCAGGCTCCAACACTGTTAAGAGCTCCAAGACACTACCCTGCATGAAGGATGCTAAATAAATGTGTGTTGATGTTGCTGAGAAATATTTGACATGTAACAAATGTGCTCCTCATTTTCAAAATCTGAAAAAAAGCAAAAGTTATGTAGAAAAGAGTAAGACACTAGCTGAAGAAAACAAGTGCAAAAAATAAAAAGTATATATTTTTAATAGAGTTGTGTCAAAACATTTCAAAGTGCATCACAAGTCAATACTGTCAAGTGTAGTAACTTTACAAGGTCCTGGACATCATTATTCTATTGCTCCCAAAATAAAAACAGCAATATGACCTCACAGTTTCTAAAAAATGTCAATTGAAGTTATGACAAGCTGTTCAATCTAACCTCTGCTTGATATGCTATATTCAAAGATACAGAGACACCCGTGAAACACAATGGAGGCAAGAGAGGAGAATGTACGATCATAACAAAAATTTGGCTATTTTTAATATAATAAGTACTGTGAGTATAAAATTAACCACAAAGGCAAAGGCATTTTTATGCAATTTTATAATAATTTATAGGTTCAACCCTAAATTTCTATGTTGGTCAGAGGGTGTCTGACACGTGCAGAAACCCATTACTATGCTTAAGAGTGTCCAAACCTAACTGAGAATATCATGCTGTTTATTGGAATGGAATGTGCACTCTCTCCCTGGAGGGATGCATCCTGCTTACCTAATTCTAAGAAAGTATTAGGCACAGATTGGGGGCCCCTGACTGTGTGTTGGGGTTCAGCTGAAGTCTCACCAGCTAAAACTGCATAGCTTGCCATTGAGAGCAGTGCCTGACAAGTTTTCTGCTGTTTGTCCAGAAAGGACCCTTGGGCTTGCAGGGTTAGTGGGAACTGAGTGGGAAGAGTCCCTGCCCCCAGTGACTGATCTGCCCTTCCAAGTCCTGCTTACTCAGCGCCAGCTGTTTAATCCAGGCCCTCAAGCGAGGGGCTTGGCAAACAGATGTGCCTGCTGTTAAGCCGCCTCCGTCTCCAGGGTGCTCAGCGACAGGTCATTGTAGTCTTGTGGCCTCCCTGCAGCCACTTCCTGTGTTTGCTACAAATCCACCTCTCTGCTTGATCCTGAACTTATGCAAATGGACAGATGAAGACCCTCCTTTTTAACCCCAGGAGCTCGGATCCATAAAGGAGCTTGGTATGTATGGGCAGTGCTGTGATTGGCCCAAATTAATAATAATAATAATTTGGTCACTCAATCCACGACTGCTTGTGAGACATTGCTGTGCGCAATTGGCTGCTGCGTTTCGCCCATAAAATATACAGTCAATTCACTTTACAATATATTCTGTGAAGCGCTTTGAGACATTTCAAAGTCGTGATAAGGCGCTAATAAATGCAATGATTATTATTATTATTATTATTCGATCTGTTTGCAACACGTCTTATATGGCTTAAACTTGACCTGCATTGGGACCTTACTATCCTTGAAGAGAGACATGCATGACCGGAGTGACCTTTACCCCTTCTCAGCACGTTACTTCAGGACAGTGACGGGTGCAGAGCAAAAGATCCCCAGGTGAGTCCACCAGTAGCACAATATCATCCGCAATCTTGTCAGAAAGGCCTGAACAGATGCATCAAGGAATCCGTCTATGTTTTCATTGATACAATGATTTTATTTGAGTTGGGTGCAGCCAAAATATTAAAATTTAGTTTTCCGTTTAAACATACTACTAAACCGTATGATGTTAATGATATTAACAGAATCCCTTAATACGAATTCCTAGTCATGCGATGCTTTCCAACACAACTGCTTTTAAAGCAGAGTTCTATCAGGTTGATAGAAATTGTAACTTGATTATTTATCAAGGAAACAAATCTGTGTCAATTGAAGTTATGTCAAGCTATTAAACGTACCCTACTGCTTAATATAATACATTATAGGATTCTTTATTAAGGATTTGTGTTAAAACTACACTAAACTAGACCCCAATATATCCTTCCTTCTATTAACTAACATATTTGTATTGAAACATATTGGATTGTCTGCCCACATTGATTTATTATATATCATCATTTACTCGCACCTAGAAATGTCAAGAAGATATAAGATATGAATAAAAACCACAAGCAGGAAACAATGTTCTCCATACTTATTCCTGTGGTTCACAGCATGTGCAATTTGTATGTATGCGAAGGTTATAACTTGCACTATCTACATGTGAACACATTTTATTTCCCCTCTCCAATAAAGTTGTGTAAATGAGCAATGTTCCAAAACACTATAACCCTATTGTTTGCCCTACAAACAAGTTGTCTACGTGGGTAGGACATTGAACCAGGAGTGGAAGAGAGAGATTTTACGTAATGTTAAATTTAAGATAAAAAAGTGGAGGATAATATTAATAATAATTCTTGCATTGAAAATAGCACCTATCCTATTGGTTCACCTATAAATACACAATCTTTGTTTCAGAGTTTTTCAGTAAAGTATTAGATTGTATATGTGTAGGTGAACACAGCAACAAGTTTGTAGACAGCAATGTCCCACAAAGTGCCATGAAGGAATGAGCAATTTTGTATCAGGGGATTTTTGGTCAGGATACCAGGAGAACTCCATTCTCTGTTTGAGCAATGGCATTGGATCTCTAATGTGAACATGCTGTGTCATGTAACCATCAGAAGAGGAGGTTCAAACTTGAAAACAAATCCATTACATCTTTGATAAGAATTAGAAAAATAAATGGTCTGAATGTGGCCATTCTTTCCATTTCTAGATCTCAGAATGACCACAAAGTATGCATGCATTCTATTTGTTATCAACTGCACAATATATTTCTCTCCCACCCACCCTCAGCAATAACCTGCAAAATAGTCATTTTGTATTAAAATACCAATTGAGGTCAATAATATGATATATAAATTGTCTGCAGAGATTAGATGAGCAGTGGCCCAATATGTTAAGAGAAACCTGTTTGTGTAATTGGTCTGGAGAGCTCATGTGGAATGACTGATACTACTACAGTGGAAACTCTCCAATTTTTTTTCATGTTCCTTACAGGCACCAACGCCTTGTTAGTTATTTCTGTTGCACCTACTGTCATATCACCATATATGCCAAAGAGTGTTGTAAAGTGTACGAGCTGTTAGTCTTCTTGTTAACCATGGTGATGAAGGTTAGATGCCTTTATTTGAAAATAGACTGGAAGGCTCCCAGTAAAGTGGTCTGTAAGTGCAAAGCCCAAATCAAATAATGCAAATAGGAATAAACAATGTTTCTTTAACATGGAACAAAAGTATATATGGCAAACCCCATTATTGTGACAACGAAAAGCCACAACAATGCATGAAATATCAATTCATTTGGAATTAACATTTTAAATTGAATACAGAGAACAGCAACTGGAGCCAATCTGTGTTGCAGTGGAAATTCTCCCAACAAATAGTCAAATCGATCAGAAAAAAATATAGTTACCCAACAATAAATACAAGATAGAAGAGGCATGCCAAAAGTGCTAAGAGATTAGAACCACTTAATAATAGGATGGAAGTCCACAAGGGGTTTGAGGGAAGACCATGAGAAAACCATAAGTCTCAATGATCAGGTTACACTCTCTTCCCTCCCATTGGCAATGTGGGGAGGTGCCCACTGTCCTGTTGACTATCTCCCCCAGGGATCTGAGATTTGGAGTCCTGTAGCTCAGTGGTTAGAGCACTCGCTTTGCAAGCGAGAGACCTGAGTTCAATTCCCGGCAGAGGGCGAAACCTTGGGCAAGTTTCCTTACTCCACACAGAGCCTAATAATAATTCCTCCAAAAAAACAAAAACAATAATAGGTCATTTTCAATCCATGACTATTTTTGGGACATTGCTGTGTGCAATTGGCTGCCGCGTTCGCCCGCAAATATACAGTCAATTCACTTTACAGTATATTCTGTGAAGCGCTTTGGGACGTCCTCCCGACGTGAAAAGCGCTATATCAAATGCAAGGATTATTATTATTATTATTATTGAAACCTGGACATGAGAGACTCCAGAACTAATCCAGGTTCTCATCCCAACACAGACTTGGACTTCCCCAGCCCCCTGATCTGTCAGTGTCCTGGAAGCTTTTGGCTGATGTAATTTGCTCCACTCTCTCTCATCGGCCACCCAACAGCCATCAGTAGGAATCACACGGATAGGGTGACATGTGCCAGAGATCGCACTCAGTTTGTTTCGCGAACCCAAGAGGAAACCCCATATGTTCACTGACACACTCCAAAACACCAGTGCACAGGGTGTGTGTGTGGGGGGAGAGAGAGAGAGAGAGAGAGAAAGAAGACGCACAGTCATTCCGTTACAGAGAGCCTGGGAACAGCACATCTTCTCTGCCAAGGAGTGAACTAAATAAATAAATGCAATAAATGCAATAAATGCAATAAATGCAATAAATAAATAAATAAATAAGTGTAGATGGCTGCATAATAAACGAGGAGTGCCTGCGCTGGTTTCAGTGTAATACAGTAGTGAGGGAGGGAGGGGGGGAGGGAGGAGGGCTGTGACAGGGTAGTGGGGTAGTCTGTCAGTCAGTGCGCAGGCTCGCAGGAGCTCTGGACAGATCTGCAGCACAGAGAGCACACAGAGCTTCCTACAGCTCCTCTCTCTCTCTCTCTCTCTATCTTTCCTCTCCTCTCCTCTCCTCCTCTCTCCTCCTCTCGCACTCGCATCTACAACGACCGGGGCTCTGTCTCCAGGCGCAGGCAGTTCCCACGCAAATGAGGGACTGTCTCTGAAAGATGGCAAACGGGTTCACTGAGTCTTCAGCTACATTGCACAGAGGAAGACAACTTGCATCTCTACACTCCGGAGCGTTTTATTGGCAAGCCTTGTTTTGGATTATTTGTTCTGTATGTGGAGAGGAACATCCCTTCAATGTGGAGGTAAGTTTGCAGGACTTTTTTTTGTGTGTGTGCATTGCTGCTATCACTGTTTGCAGAACCGTGTATCGAGTGGAGGAGATCTTTTGGTCCTCCAGCACTGTAGTGTAACACAGGACTGCGAGAGCCCATTAGACCATTCGAGTCATAATCGAAACACATTAAATAAAGCTTTCAAAATTGATGGTCGCTCAGCACTGTGTTTTGCAATCCTCTGAATGGTAAGAAAACACCGATGACTTGTTTGATCTGAAAGCTTTCTTTCGGAATACAGCAGTTGCTTTCCAAATGCATTGCAATTCTGCAGTGACTGTCTGGGTGGAAGGGAAGGTGACAGCGAGGTCCTGCAACAGTGAAAGGCGAAGTGTGTGGTGTAAGTTGTTCTGTAATGTGTTATTATCTCTCCCTTTCAGTGGGTTGAACCTTCCCGGGGTCTGTGTGGGCGCCTCTCTGTTGAGCAGCTCTGTAGGTAGATGGGTTTTTGGCACTGTTTATTATTCATTACCCCAAAATGGGAATAATTATGCTGGGAGTCTGGTTACTTTTTTTTGTTGAAGGATCTTTATACCCAGACCCAATCCCCCCTTTTTCTCTCTTCTCTCTCTCTCTCTTTCTCTCTTGTCTATTGAGCCAACTATATTGTGGTCGTTATTATGGAGTATGACATTTCTCCAGCCTCCTCGGGTAATTTGAAGTGACCAGTCAAAGAATAAAGCTAATTCAACTATACCCCGAACGCTGAAGTTACCGTATTATCATGACATGACCTGCGCTTTTTCCCTTTGGAATTGGTGAAGGAATAACAGGAGAGAGGGAGAGACAGTGAGGGAGAGAGACAGAGAGAGAGAGAGAGAGAGAGAGATAGGGGGAGAGACAGAGAGGGAGAGAGACAGAGAGAAAGAGAGACAAACAGAGAGGGAGAGAGATAGAGAGGGAGAGAGACAGAGGGGGAGAGAGAGACAGAGAGGGAGAGAGACAGACAGAGAGATAGAGAGGGAGAGAGAGAGAGGGAGAGAGACAGACAGAGAGGGAGAGAGGGAGAGAGAGAGAGACAGAGAGGGAGAGAGGGAGAGAGACAGAAAGAGAGAGAGACAGAGAGAGAGAGACAGAGAGGGAGAGAGACAGAAAGAGAGAGAGACAGAGGGAGAGAGGGAGAGAGAGAGGATTTTTTTTCAGGCACCTTTTGAACTGTAGAGAATTAGCTCTGAGTGAACTCTCTCCAAAGTGGACGTTGACCAAAATCTCCCTGACGGCTCACATCAATCCGAGAGATGCAATCGTTCTGCTCAGAGCGTTTTTTATTTCTTTTTTTTTTGTTGTTTTGGTCTTAAACAGCTTTATGCACGTATTATTCCAAACTTTGGCAAAATAGGGGGGGGCAAAAAAAGTAACGGGTCACGTTGAGTTCATTCCTTTGCATTCAGTGTTGTGCTATTTATATATTTTGGTTGTAAAAAAAAATTAATTTATGGCAGATGTAAGAGTTCGGGCAAATCTGAATTTCAGAGGGATTGTTCCTTTCCTCAATTGCGATTACTCACAAACACACACACACACACAGCATTGGAAGTTGCATCCACCCCCATCACCTACTTAACATAGGTGTGGACATGCATTATTGGTGTGAAATAAGAGCCGGCGATGAGATGCGATTCAGTGCTGTGGTTATTCTCTGTCCAACTGCAATGTGCATTGCCGACTTGGGGATCAGTGTGTGCTGTGCTGGAGCAGCCGGAGAAGCCAAGTCTGAGGAGTGACTGACTTGGCAGCGCTTCCCACAGCATCTCCACTGCTTCCCGGAGTGTGCAAACTGCCTGCACCCCCCCCCCCCCCCCCACCACCCCCCAGCCTGGGGATGGCCATCCGAGGAGAGGCGCTTCTGCACACAGACTTGCCCCCCAGGAGAGCACCGCGGATGGAGAAGTTATCGCAACGGACCCCGCTGCAAAGTGAATCTTATCCACTATCTTTCGCCCACGAGATGCGTTGTGGTAAGGCGCGATATCAACTGCGAGGATTATTATAATTATTATTATTATTGTTATCAATAATCGGATCACTTACATCGCAGATACAATCGACCTGAATTGCAATTGCACTTGTAACCTGCCCACAGGACAAATACCATATAATGTCTAACCAGTGATGCCCCCCTCTCCCCCCCACCACACACACACACACACACACACCACCACCACCACCCTTTAAAATGGAATTTCAAATCGTGTTGGGAAAAACACAATTTCTGCCCTCAAACCAGGATGGAGTGGGGGGTCACATCTGAACTTCACACTCAATGGTGTTTAACAAGTCATAATGTGGACAGTCCTGGGGGTGGAGGGGCAGTGGAGAAGTTTTGAGCAGTGAGGTTAGTCGTTTATTGTGGTTAGGTTCAGAATTGAGTAGGATAACAACATCGTACTTGGGGTGCAATTTAAGTGATGTACCATTGGTGACCTCTCCACTGCCCCGACTGACTCACTGACAGTTCTGGGGTTTGGGTAAACGCATTGATTTTATTAGCAATGTAAGCACTGACGATAACTACCCCAGTGGGCAGAGGATGTAACGTTGCTCGCACACATTCATGCTGAGCTGTGCAGATCACCAGGAGGCTCACAGGGTGGGAGTTCATGGTAACTGCCATCCACCAAGAGAGCACTGAAATCTTCTCTTGTCCGATGTTAAATAATGAGCCAGTGACTATCTTCCTTGATGGAGAGGTAAGCCAAGCTGCCTCCAAGGTGATACGCTTGGCAGTGAAGTGTTGAAATCAAGTCGATCATCTCTGGCAGTTTTCTGTCACAACATTTCTCAGCAACTCAGGATTACAGCTTTATTATTCAGAGGCAGCAGGTGGACAGTGGAATCATGGGGTGAATATTTATATTGTTTTCCTGCACACTTGCAAACTTCAGCTATTGTTATGTCCAGTGCGTGAAGGAAAATGGGCAAAAATAGGACAGGAGCCTAAGGGACAATTTTCTCTCTGACTGTGTGAGGATGTACATGCGTGTGATTCAGGTGATGGGGTGGGGGTGGGGGCGAGAGGACTCACAAGACAAAAGACAAGGGATCAACATGTTTCAATTTGCTGAATAGTGTTCCTATAGCGTGCTAACATTGTCACCCAGCACCATTGCCCTCCGGTGGTGCTATTTCTAACCCTGTACTTGATGGATAAAATAATCAATCACTCAATGGGTGGGGATGCGTGTCTGCCAGTGGGCAGGAGGATGGTGGCATTGCTCGCACGCATTCATGCTGAGCTGTGCACATCACCAGGAGGCTCACAGGGTGGGAGTTCATGGTAACTGCCATCCACCAAGAGAGCACTGAAACCTTCTCTTGTCCGATGTTAAATAATGAGCCAGTGACTATCTTCCTTGATGGAGAGGTAAGCCAAGCTGCCTCCAAGGTGATACGCTTGGCAGTGAAGTGTTGAAATCAAGTCGATCATCTGTGGCAATTTTCTAATACTGGTTTCTGAGCCAGGCAGGTCCACAGCCCTCCAGGGCACTGTCACTGTTGATGACAGACCAGCGGCCTGCTTCAGCAGCAGGACTCGAAGGGGCAGATCAGTCTTCCCACTCCGCTCTGGTTAATCCTGCATGCCAAGGCCCTAATGGATAGAGTGCTAATGTTCAGGTACAATTTGTTACAGAATAGGTTGAATGCAAAACTGGTTTGATTTGTACCTAATTAGCACTTGTATGACAATTGATTTCTTTTCTCTCATTCCACTTCACCGTTCCTTAAGGTGAGATAACATTTCACGAGTATCAGTTCTCCTCATATACCTTAGAAAAGTTCATATAGAAGCCTAGGCAGTCAGTATTGCAAGACAAACAGCTGCGACTGGATTTGTCTTCATCTGGAACACTGGGAATTGCAATTCAACCTTAAGCCTTTCTGGTCTGTATGGCTAAGTGCCACACAACACAGTGCAGGAAGTCCTGCCAAAATATTTTGTTAAATAAGGATTAAAAATACAATATTTCATAACAGGGTGAATACAACAATTATCACATTGAATATAATATAGGCTATCACATTTTCACCATGTAGTTTTTGGCATAATTTTTCATTTCAGTAGAAAACCATTGATTTTTTTGCAGGGAAACAATACATATAATATATTGGATTTGCAGACTTGGTATAAGTTGGTTAGGTTTGCAGTTAATACCAAGTTGGGGAGAACAGTGGAATCAGAGGTGGCAACAATAGTCTTACAACAAGAGCTTGATACAGTATTTACATGGAATACCCAAATTATTCCAGACTGGCAAATGAAGCTCAATACAGATAAATGCAAAGTACAGAACATAGAAAGTAAAAAATAGGAGGCATACACATAATCTGAGGATATGATAGAATCTACCAAGAGGGAAGAGGGAATCCAAAAGATTTTTTAAATGAATCTTATCTATATTGTAAAAATATAGGGCGTTAATTGACTCATCACTCACAATGTCTAAATAGTGTGAGATAGCAAATAAACAAGGCAAACAGGATGTTGGATTATATAGCCAAATCAGTTGAGTTCAGGTCACCAGAAGTCATGCTAAAGTTGTACAGTTCTCTGATCTGGCAATTCCTAGAGCTCTATATATAGTTCCAGTCACCATAACAGAAGAGAGCTCCCAGGCTTTAGAGTCAGTGCAGAAGCGAGCAGCAATAATGTGCTATGAGCAAAGACAAGACAAGCTGGGGAAAAATACATGTCATGAAAAATACATCTAAATGGGACCTTATAGAGATAGATAAGATTTTTTAAAAGTTTTTGGTTTATTTAAAATCTTAGATTTTGAGATATGCCAGGAGAACAGAGGACACAGGTCTCGAATTGCAAAGGTCAGTTTCAGGACCGACATCAGGAAATATTTCTTAACCCAGAGGGTAATTAATGACTGGAATAAGTTCCAAGAAGCGTGTTGAGGCTAGGGCAATGGATTCATTTAATAAATGGCTTGATGCTGTAATTGGAAAAGTGTGGATGGGGG